ACATGGGAAGCTGGGAGCTATAGGGCTGGAAAAGGGGCTGGCAATGCCCTGGTAACAATCCTGACACCTCTGGGTTTCCGCTGGTCACTACAGGTGAAGACAAGAATAAGAAGAGCCAGCACTCACTGAGTGCTTCCTACATGTCAGATGCAGGGCTAAGGGCTTTGCAGGCACTATCTCAATGACTCCTTATACAGCCCTATGATATGGGCACTGCTATTATCCCCGAGTTACGGATGAGGTTCAGAGAGGTCACATGGCTAGTAAATGCCAGAGACAGGACATAAACCCAGACAGCATCTTTATTTGTCTTTGTGAATTTTCTCTGTTGTGTTTTCACTGAACTTCCCCTTGGACAAAGATATCCTGTCAAACTCAGAAATGTGAGCTTTCAATGACAAACACAGATGGAAATGATTTTAATAAGTTTGATCTCATTTTAAGTAGTTAAACCACACTATGAAATTCAAAGCTATTTTAAAAAGCAAGGTGTATATGTAATAGTTTCCCATTGCCGCCCTAACAAATTGCCATACACTTTGCGGCTTAAAAGGACAGTCTCTTGCAGTTCTGTAGGTCAGAAGTCCAACGTGGAACCTACCAGGATAACATCAAGGTGTTGGCAGTGCTGGGCTCCTTCTAGAGCCTGTAGGGGAAAACCAATTTCTTGCTATTTCCAGCTTCCAGAGGCTGCTCGAACCCCTTAGCTCAAGGCCATTTTTAGAGTCTACCATTCCAGCTTCCGTTTCCACTGTCACATCTCCTTTCTCTGACATTGACCCTCTTGCCACTGCAGGATCCACCGGGAGAATGCAAGATGATTTTCCCAACTCAAAATCCTTAACCTAATCACTCCTCAAAGTCCTTTTTGCTGCATAAACTAACATATTTATAGGTTCTGAGGGTTGGGGCATGGCCATCTTTAGAGCACGAGGCATTATTTTGTCTATGACAGTGATTATCAGGGCAATAGTGCAGGGTGAAATATGTCAAATAAATAATAAAATTACCTTTCCAACGGTAAATCCCCAAATCAGCATGCAATGAAAAGAGCAGCACTCAACAAAGTTCCCCTACAGAGATGGTTCCGAGGCCAGAGTCAGACAGCAGGAGGGGTGACCTGCAAAGGAACGCAGTGGAAGGGCCATTGTGGGGGGAGGCAGATGTTTCAGGATCATCCAAATCTGTCCAGGGCTAGAGGTGTGCGATGACATGATGGGAACATCTAGATTTGTCAACTGCCGGAATCTGAGGTCATTACGCCTTCCACCTCACCCAGCACATCCAGGTTATGACTTGACTTTTTCTTGGAGGAGTTTTCTTACAGGAAGAAAATGTAGCCATCAGACCACCATTTGATACTCACGTTTCTCTTTGCGGATTGATGCCATCAGGTCTTGTGAGGATCTGCAGTGATTCAGCACATCCAGGATTGATTAACTCAGAGGCCTGGCCAAAGCTAAATTGAGCCAAGAGACTGTCATCAAGGTGTGCCACCCTGGGGAGGGTTCGTGGGGCCTGCCAGCTGGCCCAACCCTGGTGATGCCAGACTCTGCCTTTCGGACACAGGTGTTGGATTCCTGGTTATTTAGAGCAGAACAGTAGCAGTGAAGATGACTTCTAACATTTATAAGCATGCGATTCACACAGTGATTCACTATGTTTATTACTGTTTCTACTCCAACTTCAATAGCCATGTTTAACAAGCCAATTATATAAAATAAAGGTTGATGGAAAAAGACCACAAGAAGAAATAAAATATTTAAGAAGCAGGGTGCTGTGATAGCGGGATTTGTGTGCTGGCTCTGCCTCTGGCTCCCTGCGTGATCTGGACAAGCCCCTCTCCATCTCTGAGCCTCAGTCTCCTCATCTGTAGGATAAGGGGCATGGCCTACATCAGCGATTATCAACCCCGACCGCTCATTAGAACCAGCCGTGAACTTGTGGATAATGTCAATGGCCGGGTATCACTGGGGAGGAGAATCACTATCTCTGAGTGATGGCAAAGGTCCTTTCCACATCTATTCTATCATTCCATGTAACGTTTGGAATTTTTTAATGAAAACTTGAGTGAGAATTGTTGAAGGCACCCATCCTCCTTACTGAATAACAAATTCAACTACACAAGAGAATGAAAATTGAGTGTCTACTACCTAGAAAGCACTAGACTAGATCCCTTAGGGGTGTCTGCTCACAAAGATCTTACTGTGTGTCAGCTAGGTGTCCATGCACCCAAATCATTGAACGTGAAAAGGGATTGACATTGTTACTTCTAAAATTTATCACACCCATGTATTAAATGGGTAATTCCTTCAACTTCTATTGAACTTCCCCCTTGCCCCAGAAATTCAGAGCCTGAGTTATGCATCCTTTTTCATATTTCTCAGCAAGGAGGTGGAAGAGAGAGATTCCCTAATTCACAAAGCTCCAACAGCCAAAGCAGCCTCCCTGCCTCCTTACCTGGTGGTCTTTACTTAAGCCCGCCCATCTTCTTGTGCTGAAATTTAGAAATGGCACAGCATCAGGTTTCATTTTTAATATTTATTGAGTGCTTACTATGTGCCAGGTACTACCCCAAGAACTTTATGGATGTTAGCTCATTTAGCCTGCAAATGATCCTATGAGATAAACACTATTATTTCTCCATATCATAGATGAAGACAAGGGCACAGAAAGCTCATGTCATTTGGCCAAGGTCACATGGCCGGTAAGTGGAGACTGGGATTCCAACTCAGAGACTGGTTCTAGAACTCCTGCTCCTGCTCCATGAAATGTTCTATGGCTGCCAAAAATAATGCTTACAAAAAAAACAAACAACAAACAACAACAACAACAACAAAATGAATAACAACATGGGAAATGTTTCTATCAAAATGTTAACTGAAAAGTTAGTAAGATAAACTCTTACGTAAGTACTATGATAAAGACTATGTAAAGTCAAAACAAAACACAAATTACTAGAAAGAAACAATACACAGTAAAAAAACTAAAAAAAGTAAAAAGAGACTGGAAGGAAAATGTTGAAAAATATTAAAAATACTTGGAGGTGGAATTATAAATGAATTTGAAATTCTTTCTATTTTTGGTATTTTTTTCTCTAAAGATTATACTTTCTTATAGTCTCATCCCCCGGGGGCATTTTAAGTATCTTACTATTTTTGTGTAAGACAATATTAGGGCTAAGCTCTGACGTTGCAAAAAGTAGTTTGGGTTTCAAAAATTGGCAGTAATTTGAAATTTAAGAGATATTTTCTCATGGATATAAATGAGTGTCCATAACAATTAAATTTTTTTAAACTAGCATTTTAAATGAAGAGTCTCAGGCATGATTCAAAGAACTTCATCTGTGTATTCTTATTTCATGAATAGGAATTATTATCAACTCCTTTTGTAGTGAAAATTAAGAATTTGAAAAGCTGGGAACCAGTGCCAGACTGCCTCTCTCCAGAGGCTGTTATAACGTCGCCACATGCCTCTCATCACGTCCCATTAGCTCAGCTTAGAAGCGCAGTTCCGTACATTTCCTCCTGTCTTATTTCTTCCTGCTGCAGTTTTCATAGTGAACATGCCCTATTTTGGCTAACTTCGTGGCCAAATAGATTTTAATGACTTACAACTTGCCCTCAGAATATTGCTCGTAGGAGGGAAAAAGAAAACCTTTGGATTCATTTGATCATGGACTTGCCAAAACTATGCCCACTGCCCCCTTGAAGGTCATTTATACAAAAGGGTCTTCTCAGGCTGGATATTCTCGTCTTAGGGGTGGTCAGAACTGATGCCTCTTCGGGCCACTTCCGTGTGAGTCCAGGTCTCCTCTTCCACCCTCAGCATACACCTGGTCCCTGCCACCTGATCTTGGGCTGGCCAAAGCCGCCTTCTTCAGGACAGTGTGTGGAAAGAGAAACCATTCCTACCTCTTCTGCCCTTTCAAAGGGATTGTTAGTGCTGAGTCAGCGCTATTTGTGAGTTCTTTTGGTGGGTCAAGTTCAGGTAAGGAGAGAAGCCTAACCACCTCCATCATCTACATTAGACCTGCCTAAAACGACATCATTGAGATATCAAGCATTCCCAGTCTAGGTTATGGCATCCTCCAAGAATGAAAAAGTCACATTAGATTGTTAGCTTGAGCCTGGCACTTTATTTTCGAGCTCTACCCTTATTCTGAAAAGGGCCCTTTGATTTCCATCTTGGGACTTTTCCCATCCGTTTCCTATACGAGGAGCAGAGACCTTTCCTCAGCCCCAGAGGTCTAGTACCCCACTGACCGAGCCCAGCGATCAGGAAGCATAGCAGAGCCACCTGTGGGACCGACAGGTGTTGTGTGTAATCTGCTAAGCTCCATCACCATCCTAGAGGCCTGCAATTCTCAGGGGATGTTCCTGTGGACTAATACCTCACATGCTTATGCAGGGAAGAATTGGGTTCTTCGGACGTGAGAGGAGGGTAGTCACTTGCGCCCCTTGGGAGAGACGCCATCAGCATCCCGCACTGGTCCGTGCCTCCCGATGCCAGGTCAGAGAGCTGACTCCATATAAAAGGCAGAAGCTTCCGACAGCCCTCAGTCCACTTGCCTCTAGAGTGATCTGCTCTAGTACCTGAACCAGGTAAAATGCACTTTAGGGACCAGGAGAGACTCGGTGCTGACATTTTGGGCAGAGAGAAGCCCTGGGTAGAGGACAATATTGAAGAAACACCAGGAGAAAGGGAGATTTGGAAGGGTTATGCCAGGAGGGGAGGGTGGGAGGCAGGGGAAGGGAAAAAAGGACTGGTGTCTTTTTGAAATTGTGAGGGATTCCTTTGAAACCATGGAGTTCCTGGGTTGAAACCTTTTGCATATTTCTTGTAACTGATTTGGGGAGATTGGGTTTTAAAAATCTGGTCCCTATAGAGATGAAATCATGTGAACTCAAAGTTCAATTTTAAACATAAGGGAGTTATGTTGCGCTAATTGAACTTAAAATTTCTGTATTTTCTTCCAGCTTCATTCAGCTTCTGCTGAGATGTCCTGCCAGCAAAGCCAGCAGCAGTGCCAGCCCCCTCCCAAGTGTCCCCCAAAATGTCCACCCAAGTGCCCCACCCCAAAATGCCCACCCAAGTGTCCCCCCAAGTGTCCAGCCCCCTGCCCACCTCCAGTCTCTTCCTGCTGTGACCTCAGCTCTGGAAGCTGCTGTAGCTTAGGGGGCGGGGACTGTTGCAGCTCTGGGGGTTGCGGCGGCTGCCTGAGCCACCACAAGCTCCGCCGATCTCTTCGGCGCCGTCACCACCACTCTGACTGCTGTGACAGTGGCCACTATTCTGGAGGCTCCAGCTGCTGCCACAGCTCCGGGGGCTCCGACTGCTGCCACAGCTCCGGGGGCTCCAGCTGCTGCCACAGCTCCGGGGGCTCCAGCTGCTGCCACAGCTCCGGGGGCTCCGACTGCTGCTGACCTGGGCCATGAGGAACACCGCGGAGCCGCACTGGAGGAGCCAAAGTGCTATTGACCACCCATCCTAAGACGGCTCTTCTGGTTCCGCGTGAACAAGTCTCCTGAAACGCCTTCGGTTTCCCTCTCCTTCTTGCCCATGTTCATTCCACTGTGAGGTCCAGAGGTCTAACCTCAGATCGTCACTGGATTGATTCTCCTCTCAGACACAGTTCTTTGGAGGGCTTGGTGTTGGAATTCAGTCACGTGCCATTTTCTCTGTAACAATAAAGCTCTTTCTTCCTGATATCACTGCTTCCTGATCATGTTTTATGCGCCTCTCCCACTCCCCATCCCCTACATCCAGCCGTCTCCCCTCCCCTTCTTTTAAGTGCAAGTGAACACTCTGAAAATCAGTTTGAGAAGCATATTTTGGCACTGAAGCTCCTTTGACCTCTGGAAACTTTAAGCTTGAAGGGAAGAGCCGTGTCTGAGACCATTACCCTGCCACCAGCCTTGCGCGAGGGGAGTGGGAACAGGTTTTCAGAGAGGAGGATGGTGGCATCCAGCAAGGTCATGGTGAGAGGACATACTCTGTCTGGGAAGGTTCCTTCAAGCATGAGTGAGGGTTTTAAAAAGTATCTATAGTTACAGAGAATAAGATCCACTAAGGGACTCATTCTGGGCTTCAACGAACGGACACCTTTTACTTTTTAAATTAAAATCCCAGGTGCTTCTATCAGTTGACTAGACAGGACACCAGACAGGGGTTAGTTTCTGGGGGGGTGTGAGATTAGGAGGCAGGGATGAAATGTCTGAGCCCATCTTCCCTGGATCTAGAAAGTCCGACGCCCTCCCCTGTGTGGCTGGAGTGCGAACGTGTGCTGGGGGAGGAGGTGGGAGCAGGGGCGATTTGGTGACTGTTTTGGGTTTTCTATATCCTTTAGGAATAGGTGGATTCCTCCAGGAGATAATCAGGTTGTTTGCAATAGAAATGATAATTCTGGATCAGCTTTTTAAATACAAGATAAACAACTAGCCCTTTCTTTATAAAAGTTAACTGTAAGTTAGTTAGTATATGAGATCATAGCAAGTTCATTAATGAGTATATGTTTGCCCAAATCATCTCCCAGAGGAGATCCTGTCTCTATCTTGTTACCTCATTACTTCCTTCTCTTCTAATACTGACCTCACCTCTTGGAATGTCTCACCTGGACTCACCAACAGGTGACGCTAGGTTCATGCAACCTGTTAATCAGGCTCTAAAGCCACATTAAATGAAACGTGTCTTTTGTGACTTACCTTTCCTTGTCTGTTCCCTCATGCCACTCCTAGCTCACTTGCCCCCAAATCTATGTCTCACTGAATCTTAGTCTTAGATTTCTTTTATCTCACATTCATGGCTGTGAGCAATTGTATTGATTAAGAAGCAGTTCTGAAGCCACTGACCTGCAAAATCTCTCCTAATTCTTCAAAATTAGTTGTTCTAAAACACCATTTTTTTATGGCCATTTTGGACCTTGGGAAAGATTGACGGCTTCCTCTCTCCCTTCCTTCCTCTTCCCCTTCTTTCCTTCCTTCCTTCCTTCCTTCCCTCCCCTTTCCATTGGACAGTGGCCCCAGGGAGCACTTCTCATCAAAGGGAGATGGGGGATGGGGTAAGGAACAGAGAGCCCCGCTGGCTGACTTGGCATTGCAACCAGATCAGCATTCTGCACACATTTTTCTCTTAGGCCCACCAGGGCTATTGGAAATATGGACACACGACTATATTCAGAGCTTTTCTGGCCTTAATGGTTCCCTAACTGCCTGGGTTTGTCTTCCTGTCTCTAGTGACAGAGAGAAATCACCACTGGGATTCTCATCGGCACATCCCCGCCATGGTCTTCATGCAAGCCAATCTGGAAACGTCCGGGTGAAGCCCAGCAGGCTGTTTGCATAGCTTGTGGCTGGACTTGAGGAGCGAAGGACCAAGAGCCAGAGAAACGCAAATGAAGATAGCAAGTGAACGGACTCCCAAATAGAGATGACTGCACAGGGACGAAGTGTGAGCGGGGGATGGTGTGTATGGTGCCTGTGCATGAACGTTGGAGAACAGGCCCGAAGAAAGGGCTCCAGACCTCTCCACACTTGAGCCCCCACGCTTCGTCTTCACCCACACAGCCCTTCCAGCTATGAACAGTGTCCTGTTTGGAAAGTAAACATGCCATAGCAATCTTCACACTTCTGGGCAGTGACTTGAACCGCCACGTGTACCACCTACAGTGACAAATGTCTCTGGGATGTGAGTGTCAGCTGAGCGTGCCTATTGGGAAATGGGCCCCTCCCGAGAGCCAGCGACTATTGAAACCTTATAAAAGGTTCTCTGGCTAAACACTGCTCAGTCCACAGCCTAGCAGGTGACACATACCAGTTGGAGAACTGAGTGTCTTCCAGTGGAGCCAGAGTCTGGTAAGTCTTCAAATGGGGCCTAGGGAGAATGGGAAAAGTTGAAGGCAGAACACAGCCAGCAGGCGGATGTGGCAGGAAAGCCCTGGAACGTGTCCTAAGCTTCGAGTGAGCCGACCTCTCACGGCACCAGTAAAGACAAGGCGGCCAGACTGGCATGCATGTGTGTGCGACATTCACAAGGTTCCAGGGCAAGGTTCTTTAGCAGCGATGTGACTGGAGCTCAGGACTTTGGCCCCCTGGACCCGGATGCATTTCCAAATTCAGCTCTGCTCTCCATTTCCTGTGGTTGTCGGGAATGAGAGGCATTGGGGGGATGCATGACCAGGAAGGACATGCTCTGGCCTGTGTGGATTCTTTAAACCCGCATTAGGGATGCAGGTGTGATCTGGCTATTTTCTGACCAATGGGGTGTTTATACAATTCTAATAACTAGACGAACATCACTTGACGGTCTCGGGCCACGGTAAGATGGGGGAGGTGAAAGGAGCCAGAAGATCTTGGATGGGGTCGTACAGATAAATTGCCTTGATAGTCTCTTTATTGTCCACCGTGGAGAATCTTGGGTGGTCCTTATTTGGTCGCAGAAAACAGAAAACCATCCACTCTGCACAGACTGTTTCCTGCTCTATGCACATTTAACTCACTGGAAACACCTGCTCGGGGTTTGTTTCTCTGCCCTTCCTCTTTTTTCCCTTGTACCAGGCCAGGTTAGCTTGATCCCAAAGCCAAATCTTAAAGACTCGAGTTCCAATGTTGGAAAGAAAAAGTCTGCTCGCGTGTGAAACGCTGCTTTTCTTGCAGGTTCACAGTCACAGCTCCACGATGTCCGCCCAGCAGAGCGCTGTTTCCGCCAAAGGCTTTTCCAAGGGGTCTTCCCAGGGCTCCGCTCCGTGCCCGGCCCCGGCGCCCTCCGTGACCCCCGCCCCCTCGTCCTCCTGCTGCAACGGCTGCGGCGACTCCGGCTGCTGCGGCGGCTCCGGCTGCTGCGGCGGCTCCGGCGGCTGCGGCGACTGCGGGTGCTGCGGCCCGGTCTCCACCGGATGCTGCTGCTTTCCAAGGAGGCGCCGCCGGCAGCGCAGGAGCGGGTGCGGCTGCTGTGGGGGTGGCAGCCAGAGGTCTCAGTGCTCCGACACTCAGAGCCCAGGCTGCTGCGGCAGCTGCTGAGGCCACTCCCGGGAGAGCTTCACGAGAGCCACCAGCCACCCAGAGAAGGACCCCCCAAGGGCTGCTGCTCCCACCCCGCCCGCCTCCTCACGTTACGCTCGCGTTCTGATCTGGGCCTTCGAGTTTGCACACCCTCTCCTGGCAAGATAACTGCACTTGAATGTCCAGAAAACCACCCTGTTCTCAGCCCCACAATACTCCCTGACCCCATGTGATTTTCTTCCCTGGGAACCTGAGAGCTATGGTGGACTCTGCCGTCTGCATGGACGCTGCTCTCTACTGTCTGCTTGGGCTTGCACACAGTAGGTGCTCAGTAACCGCCTGTTGATTTGATTGTCTTAAAGACGTCGTAATAAAGTCACGTCCTGAGAACACACCTATTGCTATATGTTATTTCATTTGTGTACTCATTGTCGTTTTCTGTTAACCCATCCACTACTTCTCAGCCCTAGCTTGGCATATTTGTAAATGGCAGAAAACTAAAATTCATGCCTGAACAAGAGTAGGTCTCTGTTTCTTCATTATGATAGCAGAAATCTCATACGGAGCCAGGCAGTGTTCTAAGAACTTGATGTGCTATGTATCATCTCATTTAATTTTCACAATGACTCAGTGAGGTAGGTACTCATATTTCCACTCTATAGAAGAGAAACTGGGTCCGTGTAACTTGCTCAGAGTCACCCAGGCGGTGTGTAATGGAGAACATTGATGCCTGATTCTAGGTATGCTCCTAATGGCTCTGCTTGGTCCTCCTGAAAAACCTTCCAGAGCCTCACACACCTTCCTGTCCACCAGGCCCAGGTGACAGCTGTGTGGCAAAGGTTCGGATCTGCAACACTTTGTTTTTCTTTCCTACAGAGGATCACTTGCTGGGTAAGGAAACTTTCCCAAGTTGAGCCTTGCAGGAGGCTGGAAGGTGCCCTCTCCAGGTCCCGTCTGGGCAGCTGAGGCCCAACCTGGAGTCATGAGCTCCAAGGACTTTGCAGGGTGCAGTGTGCCACACTCAGACATGTGGGAATGTCATTCTCTAGAGGTGGTGGTTGTGATGGCGGTGGTGGGGTCACCCTGAGCGGGTCAGACCCAGACCTGTGTCATAAATCAGGAAAGAGGAAACAGGGAGAACCATGTCCTCTGCAGTGACGCCTGCCGGTTCAATAGGGAAGAGACAAGAATAACTGTGACAATAATAGTAACAATAGCTACTACCTACCGAGCGCTTACTTTGTTCCAGGCACAAGGCTAAGCATTTTGCATATATTATCTCACTTAATCTTCACAATAATCTCAAAATAGAGACAGGAATTTCCTTGTTTTTTGTACGTGAGGAAATGGGTTCTGAGGGTTTCAGAGACTTGGCCAAAGTCTCACAGCTAGTGTATGTCCAAGGCCCCCAGATGGCAAGTGAGGGAGACAAGACTGGAATTGGGGTCTGGCTCCCATATTTTCAGACTCAAAGAGCCATGATCTTCTGCTCAGGAATCACCAGCACCCAGGGGAAGGGACACTCAGGACTCTGCGAACACACCCAGGCTTGGAGAAAATTGAAGCATGGCTTCTTTGCCTACTGTTACATCAGTGACCCAGTGACTGGCAACTTCTGTCATGACATCCACCCAACAAAAGGTATTTGCTCAGGGGTGAGGTCAGAAATGCTCCATTGATTCATCCAGGGCATTTAAAGCTGAGGCCAAATGACCCCTGTCGGATGCTCCGAAGAATAGTCCTGCTGTGGGTGGGAGGGGCTCTCTCTTCTGTCTCTGAGGTTCTCTGATTCCCGGTGGGAGGTGATTTGTGGAAACTGTTTACACACAGATGATATCACCCGTGGACCCGCCTCTCTCACAAATGATGTGCGTTGAAGCAACAGGCCCCAGGATGCGGGGGCGGGAGAGGTCAGAAGGGAGCACTACCTGACTCACCAGAGGTTGGAAAGCCAGCCTGAGGGTTGGGGAAGACCCTTACGCAGGAAGCTGAGGCCTGAATCTTGGGAAAGATGAGGGACACGTGAATCTGAATGGAATCTCATACCCTTGTCTGAGAGACACGTTGATATTGATCAAATGGCTGACCGCGGGTGGCGGTACCGCCAGGCTCGAGCATCCCTGACCGGCAGCAGATCGCCGCAGGGGCGCTTTGATGAGATAGATGGGGGCATCCTAAGGCTAGTTTTGTTATAGAAACCGAGAAAGCTGCTTTGGATGGGCTAGAACTGCTGGTCGTTCCACAGCCTTTCCTCATGTCCAACAGCAGATGCCGTGTGCCTGGCCGCGAACCTCTCAGGTGCCAGCAGTCAGTCCTCAGGATGCTGAGACTGAGGGGACCTGGGCAAAGCCACCCAGTACACTGTGGCAGGCAGAATCAGGTTTCTTCTTCTTATTGGATGATAAGACAGCATTGGTAATAAGACAGTGACAGTAATTGAATGTATTTTATTCATGATGGCTCCAGTTTCAGCTTACATTATGTTATTATAGTGGTAATAGTAACAACTGATATTTACACAGAACTCAGCAGTTTATAAACTGTTTTCACATACTTCTCTTATAATTCTGCAAGATAAGTACTATTATCCTTGTTTAACAGATTGAGATATGCTCTGACAACTGAAGTGACCAGCCTGAGGTTGTCCAGGCCACAAGTGACAGTCTCTGACTGGACTAGGCCTTCTGAAGCCTTCCCAGAGAGCCAAGAGCCACCCCTTCCTAATCTATACACTGAGATAATTAAATGATGTCATCCGATTAATTATTTAGGGAGAATGCTATATTCATCATCGCAATCCTAGCACCTAAAACTATGCCAGGTACACATTAAGGGTGTAAATAAATAAATACTTGTTAGTACAGCACATGTAAAGCATTGTGCTAAACAATTCTGGGAGATGCACAAAAGTATTTCTTCACCTCAAGGAGTTTATAGTCTGATTTGGAAAACATGGCAAATAATCATACAAGGTAAGGATGATAATGTCACATACAAGAAATAACATCACAGACAAACACATACTATACATACAAATACATGCAAATACTAGAGTACAAGAACATGGTACAGACAATGGCTATAGGGATTCAACTGAAATTTAGATGATTTGTTACAGGATTTCAAATGAGGGCAAGTAATTTTGGGCTGGGTTTATTCATCAGACTTCATGGAAGGAGGGATCTGAGCTGAGTCTGAAGGATGGAGACACCAGAGAGGCAGAGATTCGTTCGGTTGTGCATTAATTCAACTCCGTCAGGCGCCGTTCCTGGTTCTGAGACAGAGTGAGATACAACACCAAGACCCTGCCCAGGTGGACCTCACGTTCGGAGGGCAGGCAGACAGGAAAGTGAGCAAGAGAGATTAAAGAAGGTAGGGTATAGAGATTAAGTGAAAGTGTATGGGGATTTTAGGTGAAGACGAGGGAAGTCCTCTCTGAGGAAGCATTTGAGCAGAGACGATGAGAATCATTGTGCAGAGCAGAAAAGCACATGGTTACGGGGTTCCTGCCTGGCTGGGAGCTTGAGGCTGTGGATGTTTAAGAAGCGCTCACTGTAACTTTGGGCCCATTAGAGGCTTTCTGTCCTGAGAAGTTTCTTGGAATTCCAGCTGTTTGGAGCACAGATTTGATAGTGAAATCAATAATATATTAAGAACTTGGCATAATTTCACTCAATCCTCACAACCCTTCCACAACTTAGTCTTTTCCCTACTTTTTAAAAATAAGAAACCTGAGACTTGGACCTGTCTGGTCCTAAGTTTTCACAACTTGTAATTGGGAGAATGGGGTTTTGAACTGCATGTCTCTGATTCTAAAACCCCTATTCTGAACACTGAGCTATACAGCATGCCTTTCTGGGAGGGAGGGGAGAACTTTCAGGCTTAGGCAGAGGGGCAAGAAAGGAGATCCAAGGGAGAGGCAGTGGTGGAGAAAGACAATCCTCAAAGATGGAGAGATGAGGCCAGGCTATGGATAGTTTTGAAAGCCAACCCAAGGAGCTGAAACTGTATCACATTTGTGGAGTGTGGTGGTAGAAAATGGTTTTGAAAGGAGTCCTTTAGAAAGACAGAAGTTGGTTTGCATAACACCGATGGTACACTCCTAGGTGACCCTAAGGTTAATTAGGCAACAATGATTAGAGTGCTCTAGAGGAGGGGTCTCCAACCTCCAGTCCGTGGTCTGCGAGGAACCTGGCGGCACAGGGGAAGGTGAGCAGTGGGCGAGAAAGTGAAGCTTCATCCTGCTCCCCAGCCCTCGCATTAACGCTGCCTCCCCCACCCTGTCTGTAGAAAAATCGTCTTCCATGAAACTGGTCCCTGGTGCCAAAATGTTGGGACTGCTGCTCTACAGAAAGGAGTGAATGGAGAGAATACAGTGTGTCACAATGAGAGAAGGCACAATGGTCTAGGCTTAAAATGAGACTCTAAACTCAGTACTTAGCAGTGGGTAAGGAAAGGAAATGACAGACATGAAAAGCATTTGTCCAGAAGCAAGAAGACTAGACAGAACTGGGTGATGTGTGGGTTATGAGGAAGAGGAAACAACTGGATGTTTCTGAGGCTTATGCCTGGTGAATGGGAAAAGATGATACCATGGCCAAAGCAGAGATGCCAGGAGAAAAAGGCTGGTGTGGACAAGAAGAGGGCAAGTTCAGGTCAGGGCAAGTGGAGTGTGAGGTGCTGGCAAGGCATGACCGTGAGAGAGGATGTGGGGCTGGAACTCCACACGCAGGTCCTTGAAAATTTAAACAAACCCATAGTAATAAATAAGACAGAGGAGAGAGTCAGATTTTGGGGAATGAATAGAGTACCACCAAGTCCTTGAAAGTTATTGACAGATCTGGTCTGTCTTTGCTCGTAGCAGTAACCTCAGTGTGAAGAACAGAGGCTGGGACATCAAAAGCACTCAATAAATATGTGTTGGGTGAATGAATGATGAATGAATGGGCAAAACAGAAAGTCAAAAATTAAGTTGAGGAGTAAATGAAATGATTAGGAGGAAGCTGAGTTCCAAGTGA